CCCTAAACCTCAGCCCTTAGATAGTCCAGTTCGCCCTCCCCTGAAAAGCAGGGTCACGGGAACTGCCAACACCTGCCGGTAGCCACAAGTCCACAGGCATTGTATATAGCAATAGCGTGTAAACAAATAAAGATACCTAAACCCCTAAACCCTAAATTCAGAACCATACTTGAAAAGTAATTGTACTACCCTCGACTGCTCTAGTCTGGCATACAGCCATGAGCATACCGGCTGAGGCGGAGTTCTCGAGGGATCTAAAACTTTATAAACGTAAAGTAAACAGGTGATGCGCGCTGCGCCATGCTCACCCCGATGCATTTGACACCTACCTCGCTCAATTGATACACTGTGACAGTACATCTGGATGCAAGTGCTCGAGAAGGTCTCAAGAACAGGGTTTCAGAGAGAAGACAAAGCCATGCATATAAGATACATTTGAAAGGCCATCCCTTCGCCTGATGTTTGCTACCATGCCCAAATATATGGCAACTGAGTCCACAAAAAAACAACAGAATTTGGTGCCGAGGGCAGGTTACAAACACTGCTCACACACGTGTACAAACTATCTCAGAGTATAATTAAATACAACTAGAACAAGCTATATACAACTATATACAAACCTATACAACTATACACAACTGAATACAACTATATACAACTGAGTACAACTATCTACAAACCTATACAGCTATATACAAATGAGTACAACTATCTACAACTCTATACAACTATCCTGCGTTCCGCTTACTACGCCACCACAGCCAGACATACCGTATTCAAATGCCCGAGAAACCCGGTATTCAGTATTGAGAACAGATTCTCAAAGGCAGTGCCGTGATAGGCCAAGTGATAGCCATGCCTCGCCTTCAGTGTGTCAAACGCATCTCGCCGTTGCCGCAGGGAGCCTGAGCTGATGCAAGACACAACGGCAGGCGTTAAACCGTGGGTGTTTTTAGGGGTGTGAGGATTTAGATGGTTTGTAACAAAGTAAGCATCCTAAGAAGGTAAAAACTGGCCTTAATTGATATATAGCTCGGCGAAAGGCGATACAACATAAGTTTATATGGTTTAGGTAACGAGGCAAGCATACTAAGACGGCAAAGCTGCCCGCAATTGACTTAAACACGACGACTAGTGATGCAACATATGTGCTAATAGAGGTGAAGGGTTGTAAATAGTTTATAACGAAGCAAGCATACTATGCACGAAGGCAAAATTAATTAATATTTAACACGACGACAAGCGTTACAACATATGTGCTCATAGACGTTAAAGGGTTGTAAATAGTTTATAAATTAGCAAGCATACTATACAAGAAGGCAAAATTAATTGATATTTAACACGACGACAAACGTTACAACATGTGCTCATACAGGTTAAAGGGTTGTAAATAGTTTATAACGAAGCAAGCATATTATACAAGAAGGCAAAATTAATTGATATTTAACACGACGACAAGCGCTACAACATATGCGTTGATAGGGTTTAAGAGTTGTGAATCGCTTATAACGAAGCAAGCATACTATACAAGAAGGCAAAATATGGCCGTAATTGATATTTAACACGTCAACAAGCGATACAACATATGCGTTGACAGAGGTTAAGGGTTGTAAATAGTTTATAACGAAGCAAGCATACTATACAAGAAAGCAAAATTAATTGATATTTAACACGACAACAAGCGTTACAACATATGCGTTGATAGGGTTTAAGAGTTGTAAATAATTTATAACGAAGCAAGTATAGCCTTTCAAAAAGGCAAAGCTAGCCTGAGCTGTGCTGAAACACGACAACAGATGATACAAAATATGTAGAACCAGCCTCAATCGAATTAATTACCAAAAAACGAATATAAAAAAGTAGCGGCTACTTTGGATAGGGTTATTGTGCTTGAGTCAATCTTCATCGGTGCATACACCAAACGTTTAGGTATTTATATTCTTATGCCACAACCAGTTCGAGTCTCGTACTGATCTCACACCTACTATCACTGAGATTAAACTACGCAGCTCATTTGAGCGCGGCCGTCCTGTGGCTTAATGGATGCATATAATTTTATATATATATATACATGTATATATGTATATATATATATATGCATAACACGCAAATATACCTGTATGCAAACAAACATAAAAACAAACACATAACACAACACGATCACCTATCACTCGCCCGCGTGGCTGTAATGGCATCTCGGTAGATCACTTCGAACACCAGATTGGGTGCCTTCCCCCTATACGCCGAAGCGCCGATGTGTCTATTTATATTTCGAAACTGTATAGTATGAAAGGCGTACGTGACGATGAACAAACTAGAGATATATAGCAGCACTCGTTGAAAACGCATGACAGATATTGAGCTAAGACAATACCTACCATAAATACATAAATCGATGAAGAGCATGCGATGGAAGGAAAGAACATCCACAAACTATGGAAAGATTACACAGGAATATAACCAGCATGAATTGATATATATATATATATAAAGATATATATATACACATATATAAATATTTATATATATATATAATATTTATATATATATGAGTGAGTGAGTGAGTGTGTGTGTGTGTATGTGTGTGAGCGTGTGTGAGCATGTATGGGTGGGTGGGTGGGCGGGTGCATGTATGTATATGAAT